TCCTCCTGCGCGTCGCTGCTCTCCGCCTCGCCTGTGGTGGGCGCATGGCACGGAGACAGGTTGTGTGTGCGAGTGGGTGATTGAGTGGGAGAGCGAGGGAGAGGGTCAGTGGGTGGGTGAGTGAGTGGGTGGATGAGTGAGTGAGTGAGGGGAGGGGCGGCGATGTACCTGCGAGAGGCAGCGCGAGGAGCCACCGGGGCTGGAGCTGCCGGGTGCGCCAGCCTCAGCTGCCGCCCCGCTGCTGCTCACGCTCGCAGCACGCGCGGCGCTGGAGCCACCCTCCCTCGACGGCGCGCTGTCCGCCGCTGCCGTGCGCAGGGCGCAGCTGTGGGCCTGGCAGCACAGCACAGCACACGGTGGGGTACAAAGCACAAATGGCGGCCGTCAGTACACGTACTTCCAGAGAGCGCCCCCCCCCAGCAGCCGCCATCCTGCCGTGCGTGGCGTGGTGTGCGCTGTGCTAGCATGCGAGGCAGCAAGATATTGTGATGATGGCATGCGCGACACTCGCAGCATGGAAGCACGAATTGCACGCACCTGTGCCACACACGCAGCAGCAGCACCACCACCATTGCTCGCAAGCCCTGCTCTCGCGGCTCCCTTGCTGTCCGCGTCCGACGCAACAGCGCCATCCGCCTTCGCCCCTCCATCGCCCTCCGCGCCGTCCCCCCATCCCGCGTGGTCGCCCCCCTCCTCGTGTTCCGCCTCCAGCTCCTCCACCGCCCACACCTGCGCCGCGCGCCGCTCCTCCTCGCGGCAACGCTCGTCGGCGGCGCCGGCGGAGGGGAAGGCGCAGGCGGCATCGAGGAGCGCGGGCGCGGGCGGCAGCGGCACGGAGGGATCGGAGGCGGGGCCCCACCACGAGTGCAGGTCGGCGCGCGTGAGATGGGGGAGAGCGTCCGCGGAGGAGGGGGAGGGAGGGTCCGCGGAGGGGAGAGGAAGAAAGTCCCCGGAGGGAAAAGAAAGCGCGTCCGTGGCATAGGCGGAACTGCGGGTAGCGCGAGGCAGACAGGAGGGTAAGGTCAGGTGGGACATGCGAACCGGAGAACGGATATTCCGGCAAGCAAGTCTGACATCGGGAGCACAACGCATCAATGCCGTGTCAGAGCTGACCCACCTCATCAGCTCATCCACGTGGCTCGCCTGCTCGTGACCCCACGGCTCACTTGCCATGCCGTCCGCCATCGCGTCCGCGCAAGCCCCGCCTTGCCTGTCCGGGGAGCTTGGTAGCTCGGCGCGCGGGAAGGCGCAAGCGGCGCTATGGTCCGCGCGCGCATGAGGACTGTGCTTGCCCACGCCAACGCCATCCCCAGCGCCATTCCCGCCCCCATCCTCCTGCTGCTCCCCCCACCCGTTCACGCGACGCGCGTCCCCTTGTGCTCCCTCGCAGCCTGCCAACTCGCGCGCCTCTCGCGGACCGTCAACCAAGCGGCCAGGCAACAGGTCCTTGCGGCCGCCGTCAGTTTCTGCAACCTCGACCTGTCGCAGTCTCGCAGCGTGCACCGCGTCGCAGCTGGCGTCAACGACACCCGCGGCGTCCCGGTCAGCGTGCGGCGCGGCGAGTTCGTCGTAGTCCTCGAATTGCTCCCATACCTGGTCGTCGAACTGCGCGCCATGCACGCGATTGGACAACACCCACGCATCCCGGTCAGCCATCGCTATCAGCCAAGCTCGAAAGGTAAAAAAATTGCAGGAAATATAGGCCATACATAGTAAGTTCGAGGCGAGAACTTCTGAATGTAAGTTGGTTCATTTCTTTCACAAAAAGAGATCGGGTGTCATTTACTATGTTCCAGACCATCTCGAGCTAAAAGCCTGCAAAATTTAGAAGGTGGGAAGTCGAGCAAGAACAAGGAGGAGGAGATCTGGGCAGCAGAGCGATGTGAGGGTAGCGCACCATGGGCCAACTGTTGACCGCGCAGTCGCCATCCTCCATTTCCCATGCCGATGCCGACATCGCGGTCGAGCCGTCTTGGGAATTCACTACGAATGATACGCAAAACTACGCTTAGAGCTTACGACCTGGATAAGACTAGGAGTCAACTCGCATGGCTAGAAGAGTCTTGGACCAGAAACGCCAACTATTGCACCATGAATCTGTGGGAAAGGTTACTGTAGTAGCTAAGTCGATTGGACTGGAGGCAAGGTGTGAGCAAGGGTGCACCATCCAACGCGTTCCTTTGGCTTCCCTCGCTCCGTTCCCAAGATTGGCTTCTGGAAGCTGACGATATGGAGGACAGGCTTCATGGGCTGCCCGACACAAGCCAGACTCACACCCGATAACAGATGCTGCAGGAAAGAGCACGAAACTGTTTCTATTCTGTGTGAAATGAACTCCCGGGTCACACAAATAAACCATGTAACGCTCTGAATCGCCATTCTGACGACATCGCCAGATTTTTGCGACGTGCTGTCGTCGGCAGTTCTTTACCGAGAAAAAATCTTCCGACAGGCGGTCCTCAGCCACAGGATGGATTCCCTCCAAAGCGAAGCTGCTCTGCTTTGTCGCTCGCTCGGTTCAGTCAGACTCGCCCGGATCCACCGCGTGCGACCAGAACCACTCGTAATTCCCAAAGGTGCTTTACGAAAAAAATCTCGAGAGTGGTCTTGATTTTTGGCCGTGGCTTGGTGTTTCCGGGCAGATGGGCGTATGTCCATGTCCGCAGCTGCCCATACCGGAGGTGGGTGCTGTTGGAGCTAATAACGAAGCTTCATTTTGGCTCAAACATCAGATTAGAACCAGCTTGGGAATAATAAATTGTAGGCATTTCTGTCTCCTTACTGATTTCAGCACTCAATCAAGCCAGAGAGAAGTTATCGACGCCAATGATTACATCTTAAGAAGAAAAAAAATCAGATATTAAAGAACATTTTTATTCATCATTGAAACTGATTGGCGAATCTGGTTTACGAATCACGAATCTCGCTGTGCTGGTGGCCATTTAGCAGCCCTACATCGCCTTTGGACACCTCGGTGCCATCTTGATCGAACTGGTCTGTCCACGACTCCCCTTCTTCCTCCACCTCCCCGTCACTCCCAGTGCCTTCCGCGCCATCCACGCCCTCAAGGGCCTGCATGCCCAGGTCACTGCCTGCCTCGCTCTGCATGGCAGCCACCATCTGCGGCGTCACCTGCATCACACGAGGCCCCTCCCAGGGGGCGGGCTGGCCGTCCTCCCACCCGCGGTACAGCACCACCTTGGACGGCTCCTGCGACACAAACACCCCCCCAGTCGCCTCCTGCACATGTCACAAAGCACACACCACCCTAGTTAGTGTCACAGACAGTCAGATCAAACCCAAATGAGCTGCAGCACACACCCGTGGGGAGGCAAAAGCGCACCCAGGCATGCCCTTGGCACCCCCCCTGACCTCGAGCTGCTTGACGATCTCTTGTGCTGGCGTGCCGGCCGCCCGGCCTCGGATGCCCACCTTCACGAGCGCATGGCGTGTGAAGTGCAGGCGGATGGCCCTCGCCAGCCCCTCCACCACGTTGCTGCGCCCTGTGGCCGTGCGGGCGAGGGGGCACCATGTATGGAGACACCACGCATGTGCATGCATGCGAACGTCAGAGGCACCATGAACATGCAAGCACAGTTACACGTGGATGGGATACAGCATATAACACCGCAAAAGGGGATGAGAGCGAGAGGGGAGGAAGAGGGGAAGAGAGCAGCTGAATAATAGCAAGTGAGAGCGAGGGATGGAAACCAAGGGGTGGTGGGTGCACTGACCAACTTGGAAGGCGGCGGTGCTGTCGAGGGTGAGCGCCCTGCGCCGGAGCTCGAGGCGCTGGGAGCGCGAGAGGGGAGGCGCCCTGAAGAGAGGCCCCACTAGCGCCCGCTCCCTCACCTCCTCCCTGCCCACTCGCCACGTCTCCCGCACTGCCTCCCTCTCCCGCTGCTGCCGCTGCCTCTCCTCCTCGTCCTGCTGCTGCTGCAGCTGCGGCTGCACGCTGGCAGCAATGAGCGCATCAATCTCAGCCGCCTCCGCCTCCACAGCGGGCGACAGCGGGGAAGGCCCGTCCGCACCTGCCTCACTTCCCTCCTCCCATGTGTCTGTGCTGCTGCTGCTGCCAGTGCTGGTGGCGGAGTCCAGAGAGAGAGGCAAAGAAGGGAGAGAGGCGCGGGAAAGAGGCGCTATCTCGCCAGGCTTCACCTGTGACCCTCTCTCTGCCTCTGCCTGCCCTCACACACATCCACACACACACACACACGCACACAGGCACACACACAGCGTGGTGCGAACAGATGGGAAAGGAGATGATGTAACTAAATCAGAAGAGGAGCAGACGAGCAGAAAAGCGGAGGGGAGCAGAAGGGCGGGAGAGTGGAGGGGAGAAAATCCGGGAGAGCACTGACCAGGCCTTGTGAGAGGCGGGCGATGGCGGTGTCGAGGTCCCTCATGTGTGCTTCTAGTGACTGCAGGGCGGGGGGGGGGGGGGCATGGCATGCAGTGCACAGCATGGATTGGCAGGGGATGACGTAGCCGTTACACACAGAGCATGCGACTCATAAGGGCCTAGCCGCAAGCGAACATACCGACTGAAAGCATCAGAGTCTGTGAGTGAGGCAGACACAACACAATCTCGTCAGCCATGGCCCCACCAACCCCACACCTCCACACCGGCCCCCCTCCTCCCCACCCCTCCCCCCCGTCCCCCCTTCCTCCCCCAGCTCACGGCGCGGCGCTGCTCCTCGGTGGCGCGTTTGAGCGCCTGGCGCTTGGTGAGCAGCCCCTTGGGGCGCAGGACGGAGGGGCGAGAGTAGTTCTTGCCGCGATACACGATGATGGCGTGGTACTTCTTCACGGGCACCACGTCCACCAGCACGCCGCCGCTCTCCACCGCCAGCATGCCCGCCACGTCCTCTGCTCGGCGCCGGTCGCGCTCCTTGCAGATGATCTTGACCAGCTCGCGGTGCTTCCAGTGCAGATGCATGTTCTCCACCAGCCCCGCGAACACCCCCCTCTTGCCTGCATGCCCCGGGGACGAGGGAGGGAGATGGGGGTGAGAAGGAGCGAGAATATGCTGGGTGGAAACAAGGGAAGAGACTAGGAGAAGCGCACGTTGCAACTTGCAATTGTCAGCAATGGGTGTCAAATGGCGGGGAGGAGAGGCAGGTGGGTGGGCGGCATGGCGTGGCACGGACCCATTTCAAGGTAGGCGCGCATCTTCTGGCCGAGCTTGCGGAACATGTGCCTCTCCTCCTCTGTGAGCGTCTCACTGTCCGCCGGCACCTCCACCGGCCGCAGCACCGCCTGCAGCTTCTCCAACTGCTCCTCCGCCCGCCCCTTCTTGCGCAGCGCCTGCTCCACACTCACAGAGAGGGCGGCGCACGGGTGGTGGAGGGGTGAGGGCAGTTAGCATTTACTGCAGCAGAGGCACGGAGCAGCTGGGGCAATGGCAGGCAATAAGCTGCAGCTTTGGGGTTGATAGCAACAAAACAATACACCAACAGCTTCTGCTCTATCTGCCATCCCACCTGAGCCAGCTTCTGCTCTATCTGCCGTGCCAGTGCCAGCCGCCTGGACGCCTCTATGGCCTCCCGCCGCCGCCGCCGCTCCTCCTCCACCAACTGCCCCTCCACCAACTGCCCCTCCACCTCCCCCTCCTCCCCGCCCTCCGCGTCTACCCTGCCGTCAGACGAGTGCACTGCGCTCCCAGGAGAGGCTGCGCGATGATGGGCGTGCAGGCAAGGTGAAACACACGGGGGCGCAGAGTGGAGAGAGTGAGGGCGTATAGCATACAGGAAGGTGCTGTGCGTGAAACAATGCCGCGACGAGGAGAGAGTATATCCATGAACAGGTCGTACAAACCCGCCCATGCACTGGTCACCACTGACCACTTCCCGTACCTCCCCATGCGCCCCCCTCGCCGTGTGCAGAGCCGGAGGGCGAGGGCAGCAGCAGCGAGGGCAGGGCGAGCAGGCGCTCCCTCTCCTCCTCGTCCGCACTCTGCCGCGCGTGCTGCTGCCGCGCTGCGAGCGTGGTGGCGAGCGCGGCGGGCAGGAAGTCCTTGCCGCGGTACAGCGAGATGAAGAACTTGTCGCGCGCCAACAGCACCCCGCCCGTCAGCCTCTGGTGGAGGGCGGGTGGGGGGGAGGAGAAGGGGAGAGGCGGGGTTGAGAAGCAGAGAGGAGGTGATGGGAGGACGAGTGTGTGTGGGGTGTGGCAGGCGTTGTGACTGCAAGCACCTGGCACGCCCCCAGCTCACCTTGAGCTCCTGCGCCATGCAGCTCACCTTGAGCTCCTGCGCCATGCAGCTCACCTTGAGCTCGTCCGCCATGCAGCTCACCTTGAGCTCCTCCGCCATGCGCTCGTTGCTGGTGTTCTGCACGCCGCGCTTGACGCCAATCTTGGCCACCTCGCTGCGCTCCCACAGCGCCACCACCGCCGCCGCCAGCCCCTCCAGCCCCCTGTTGCGCCCTGCTCGCCCCCACCACAGCACACCCCACCCCGCCCACCGTACAAGAACGACAGCGCAGAGGGACGAGTGAGGATGTAGGGTTTAGGGTTAAACTGAGAGAGAAAGGGGAAATAGAGACGGAGATTCAATGGGGCGCGCATCACCTAGCATGAAGTGGGGCGCGCATCACCTAGCATGAAGTGGGGCGCGCATCACCTAGCATGAAGTGGGGCGCGCATCACCTAGCATG